GAATAGAATAGAATAGAATAGAATAGAATAGAATAGAATAGAATAGAATAGAATAGAATTCTTTATCGGCCAAGTGTGACTGGACAGACAAGGAATTTTTCTCTGGTACATAAACTCTCACAGTACAAACAAGCTACCAGTGTTAAGCTAAGATTGATTAGCAGGCACTTAATTAGTTCAGATTGATTAGTAAGTAGACTAATTATTTTATGAACTATGAAGGAATTAATATGCAATTTAGTTAAGATAAAGAGAGAAAGGGAGAGAGGGATAACTTTAAAAATTGGTAAGAAGACATGCTTTTTAGAACTGTTTCCTAGTTGCCTAATAAAAATGGTGCATGATTTAGTTTTTGAAAAGTCATTTATTTCAGGACTGGAAAATCTTTTCCCTGAGAATTGCTCAATTGGTTTATGTGCCCAGGGAAGACTTTTAGTATCACATGTGCTGTGGTTGGAGGCATTTCACTGATTTCTAAGTATTAATTTCTGTTCAGATGCATTTCATAATGCACATATTGAAAGTCTGCTCTCTAATTTCATCTACTCATCTCTTTTCCGTCCATTAGGATGGAAGCTAATCAAGGAGAGAACTGACCTAGAACTAAAGAAACATTTCATGATAGTTAAAATAATTAACCAGTGGAACAACTTGCCTCCAGAAGTCATGGGTACTCCAACATTGGAGAATTTTAAGAAGAGGTTGGACAACCATCTGTCTGAAATGGTATAGGATTTCCTCGCTGAGCAGGGAGTTGAGTTAGTTGAACTAGAAGACTTCTAAGGTTCATTCTAACTCTTTTATTCTGTTTTCTATATTCATCTTCATATTTCTGGTCACATTAGATTATCGCAATAGTTGTGCTGGACAGGATGTTCAAATTCATAGGTAAAAAGTCTTGCAACTCTATTTTCAGGATGCTGACCAAATTCTACCAGAATGTGTTGGCTTTGGCATTTGCTGTAAATACAATCAACAAATCTCCAACAATTTTACCAAATATCACACTGGGCTTCCACATCTACGACACCTACTATGATCACAGGATGACCTATTACAATCTTCTCAATTTGCTCTTTAAATTGCACAGTTTTCTTCCTAATTATAAATGTGGACCCCCTAAAAACCTAATTGCTGTAATTGGAGGATATGGATCTGATACCTCATTTCACTTGGCAGATATTTTAAGACGTTACAAGATTCCACAGGTGAGGACTATGCATAGCTGCAGGGAATAGTTTTTGCTACTTTTATTAGTCTTACATTAATCACACAAGTGATTTTGAAATAGAAAAGAGAAGCTAGAAAATTAATGAAATTAAGCTTAGACAATTTGACAAATAATGACTCCTGGGAGGATCAACAATGTTCCAAATCCTTCTTTCTTATTCAAGTTGGTCATATTTCTCCATCTCTGTTAAATAAGTAAAAGAGAAAGGTTTAGTTTTAGGAAATAGAAATTGAAAGGTAGCAATTTCCTTTCTGCAAGGTGTGATTGATTTATGAAAATGTACCATGCACTTTGTCATTAAGCTCACATATGGATCATTTGCTCCTGAGGACATTGTAAAAATCAAGGATCCTACTTTTTATCGCATGGTCCCAAATGATGAAAACCAGTACATGGGAATTATCCATCTGCTTCTACACTTTGACTGGACATGGGTGGGTCTCTTCACAGGAGATGATGATAGTGGGAAATATTTCTTGCAAAGCATGGAAGCATTGTTTTCCAAGTATCGAATCTGTTCAGCCTTCATTCAGGTGTTTCCATGCCAAGGTCGTGTTTTGACCAGTGATGATATGGGTACGTTTGGGAATCTCCATGTATCTGTTATGGATCAGAGGGCTAGAGCATTTATCATCTATGGAGATACCATGAATCTTATGTGGTTAATTACCTACAGCACTCTTCTTGTTTCTGACAACACATATTTGGGGAAGGTGTGGATCATGACAGCTCAGATGGAATTTGCAGTAACGGGTGTGACAAGACGGATGGATTTTCAAATGTTCCAAGGTGCCATTTCCTTTGCAATTCATTCCAAGGAACCTCAGGAATTTCAGGAGTATCTTCAGAAGAAAAACCCATACCATCCTGAAGGTGATGGTTTTGCCCAGTTGTTCTGGGAACAGGTTTTTGAATGTTCATTTCCAAATGCTTCAGAAACATTGGAGCCAGAAGAACAATGCATTGGGAAGGAGAACCTGGAGAAGCCTCCACGGTCTGTTTTTGAAGTGAAAATGAGTGGCCACAGCTACGGTATCTACAATGCTGTCTATGCAGTAGCCCATGCTCTCCATGCAATGCACTCATCGAAGACCAAACACAGAGTAAGAATGGGGGAGCAAAGACTCAAATTTGAAGACATGAAATCTTGGCAGGTAATACACTTATAACAGAATAACAGAGATGGAAGGGACCTTGGAGGTCTTCTAGTCCAATCCCCTGCTCAGGCAGGAAACCCAATAGAATTTCAGACAAATGAATGTCCAATCTATTATGTTTTTCATGATCCTGCTGCCAGAAAATACATAGTATATCAATGTATCCAATCATCAATGAAATATACATTGATAATTAAAATTAATCAAATTTGCATCCTCAGGTACTTCTGTTCATTATTTTTTCATGGGAAACTAAATGCTTTCCATGTTAAAGAAAAGTGTATTGATCACTAATTAATATAAGTGGTCTTAACAATTGCAGTTGGGATTGGCAATTTGGATATTAAGCAAAGCAATCAGTATGATCTTACTTCAATTTTTCTTTGCTGTACAAACTTGTGAATGTTGTAAATATGAGGACTGGTAGTGAAATAATTTTTAGCTTTATTGTATATAAATACCTGGTAAATGAGGCAGTTGCTAAATGAAGATTATAATCTGTAATCACTGCCAACTATCATAGATAAATATTTACTGTCCAGCAGCAATATTTTAATTAATGGTTTAAACAAAACGTAAGAAATTAGAAAGCACTGAAACAATATATTAAAATCTTATAGAATTAGAAATGGAAAATCAGTACAGGGAAACAGCTGAGTAAATGAGTTAATAATGCAAACTAAGGAGTTAATAATGCAAGACAGTAGTAAACTTCCCAGAGTCCCGTTGTGGTGAGATGGATGGCAAACAAATTTAATAATAAATAAATACTCCTGGGTCTAAAGAGTAGAAATGATCAATTTGTACATTCATCTGCCAAGTAAGCAAAAACAAAATAAATTCTGATAAAATTCATTTTCTCTGATTTTTTCTTGGAATGACATAGTATTTCTTTTATTCTGTTTTTATATCTGTCAAAAAAAAAATGGATGGAGGTTCTCTTTCATTTTCCTCCCTTCCTTCTTCCCTCCTTTCCTGGCAGTCAACATTTTCTCCTCAGAGTCTTAAATGCACAAATAATGTTTTTAAAAAATGGCCACGTCTTTCAACTTTATTATAGGAAACTGAAAATAGATTGGACTCCAAGAGAATATAAAACAATTTGTTTGCAGATACACAGATTTTGAGTGAGAGAGAGGAGGGAGGGAGGGAGGGAGGGGAGAGAGAGAGAGAGAGAGAGAGAGAGAGAGAGAGAGAGAGAGAATAGATAGATTGATAGATTGATGGATTGATGGATATATAGATGGATATATGGATGGATGGATGGATAGATAGATAGATAGATAGATAGATAGATAGATAGATAGATAGATAGATAGATAGATAGATAGATACAGAGGTGGTATTCAGCAGATTCTGACCAGTTCTGGAGAACCGGTAGCAGAAATTTTGAGAGTTAAGAGAACCGGCAAATACCACCTCTGACTGGAGATTTTACAGTATCCTCCCTCTGCCACACCCACCAAGCCACACCCGCAGAACTGATAGTAAAAAAATTGAATCCCACCACTGGATAGATAGATAGATAGATAGATAGATAGATAGATAGATAGATAGATAGATAGATAGATAGAAAGATAGATGAGATTCCTCCTAACTTCAGTGAAACCCCTGAAAGTCTAGAGATGAAAGTCCTGAAAAAAGGTACATCCCAGCCCATGTCACAGAAAACAATCATCTACTAATAACATTTCTATAAATAATGGAATATAATTTTCAAAATCTTATGAACTAGATGCCTTTCATTTTTATAACCATTTGTCATTCTGCTCCTGGAAACCAGGAATTGGTAGGCGAGTCATATCTTAATGCACAAGAAAGAATTGTCTGTAGGGACAGAAATGATTCATTTTCAAGATCTGAAGAAAATATTAAATCCATTTAAATTTCTAAAGCTGTGGGCTATAACCTACATTTCCTGCCTGCTAGACTCACCTCTTATCTATTGTCCTTCCTTCCTTCCTTCCTTCCTTCCTTCCTTCCTTCCTTCCTTCCCTCCTTCCTTCCTTCCTTCCTTCCTTCCTTCCTTCCTTCCTTCCTTCCTTCCTTCCTTCCTTCCTGAAATCTTCCTAACTGATGCAGAAAACAATCTCCTAGATTAATTTATATTGAATTTAATTGCTTCCAACAATTTATTTTATTATCCCTCTACTGTTTTCTCTTCCTCTCAGTTACATGCATTTCTTCAAGGGATGTCATTTAACAATTCAGCTGAAGAAAACCTGAATTTCAATGAAAAAAAAGAAATTGTTGCCGGATTTGATATAATGCACATGATTTTATTCCCAAACAATTCCTTCCGTAAAGTCAAAATTGGATGGATAAAACCAGTGGCTTTTGAAAAAAAACAATTCTTTATAGATGATGAAATTATTGAGTGGCACAGCACCTTTAACCAGGTATGCATTCTTGGGTTTCCTTGACAGAGTTTCCTTCAGTAAGATAAGCCATCTATGGTTACACATTTTCACTACTGTAAAATTAATCCATGCCAAAAGATGTTGTAATGAGGTCTAGGAAAACTCACTAGCGCTGACTTGCTGCAGCCAACTTGCCCTTAGATGTCCACCCTGGTCAACTGGCCCCAGACAACTCTTTGCAGGCAAACTTGCCATGGCCATCTTGCCACAAGATAATTTAAGAAGCAGCTGGTCTTCTTTTGCTTTCAGTTTGAAACTTCTCAAGTTTGAAGTCCTCAAGGCTGGGGTGAGCTACAATTCTAGTTGTCCCTCTCTTGATTTATCCTATGTGAAATTGTCCCCTGGCAAATTGTCCCATGGTAAGATGACTAGGACAAGTTCACCCAGGGTGAATTGGCCGAGGTGAGTTGTCCCATTCTGGCTGCGGTGCTAGTATAAGTTCAATATTGTTGCTTAAGGATTACTATTGTTACCAGTAACAATATTTTGGAAAAAAATATATTTCTTTAAATAGGAAAATATATTTTTGCACACTTTTTAAAAATGCTTACATTTATATTATATGTATATGTATGTATATGTGTGTGTGTGTATTCATGCCTGTTGGTCATTTATTTGTTTCCCAATTTTCAGGATCTCCCCAAAATAACTAAATGTTCTTAACTTCCTTACAATATGGACTCTTTTGATTTTTATGAACAGGTGTGTCCTATTTCTGTGTGCAGTGATTCATGCCCACCAGGGTTTCAGAAACAAAAGAAGGAAGGGGAGAAATTTTGTTGCTATGACTGTTTACCATGTCCAGAAGGAAAGATCTCCAACAAGACGGGTAGGTGATATAGTACCCTCAATTCTTCACTTTAGGATTATGTAAATTGGTGCCATTCCACATCTGAGGATTGCCTTAATTCAGAATAAGGAAGCAACTTGAGTCTTGAGTCTTCTTGTTGCCGTTAAATATTATAGCATGGCCTTGAAAGTCTACCAAATATTCTACCCAGTACTACTTAAGTATTATGCAACCAAGTTAGTTACTGCTGTTTTGTAGCACGTATTGTGATTCTAATATCACTTTTAGAGTCAGTCTGGTATTCTATCATAGGTGGTGGCTTGAAAACAAAGACATGGCTCTTCTATGTTGCTCAAGTCTTGATTTGGTTTCCAATCCAGTCAAGCTCTAATAGATATTCTTACTTTCCTTATTTTTTTTTCCTTGTAATTTTCTTTTAAGACACAGATGAATGTATGCAGTGCCGAGATGATCAATATCGAAGCCAGAACAATGACAGCTGCTTCCCCAAGATCATAACATTTCTTTCCTATCAAGAACCATTAGGAAAAAGTTTAGCCTCAATAGTCCTTTGTTTTTCACTGGTTACAGTCTTCGTGTTTATTACTTTTATTAAGCATAGAGATTCTGCCATTGTCAAAGCTAATAACCGAGAACTCACTTACACTCTCCTTTCCTCCCTCCTCCTCTGCTTCCTCTGTTCTTTCTTATTCCTTGGCCACCCCCACAAGGTCACTTGCCTCATTCGCCATGTTGCTTTTGGTATCATTTTTACTGTGGCGGTATCTTGTGTGTTGGCCAAAACCATCACTGTGGTTCTTGCTTTCATGGCCACCAAACCAGGATCCAATGTGAGGAGATGGATGGGAAAAAGGCTGGCCAATACCATTGTCCTTTCCTGCTCTGTCATTCAAGCTGGCATTTGTACTGTATGGCTTGCTATTGCTCCTCCATACCCCAAGTTGGACATAAAATCCCTGCCAAATGAGATAATAGCAGAATGCAATGAAGGCTCTACCTTCATGTTTTACTTTGTCTTGGGCTACATGGGACTTCTCTCCATCATAAGCTTCATTGTGGCTTTCCTGGCTAGAAACCTGCCAGATGCTTTCAATGAAGCGAAGTTCATCACTTTCAGCATGCTCATGTTTTGCAGTGTTTGGTTGACTTTTATCCCGACTTATTTGAGCACCAAAGGCAAATACATGGTAGCTGTGGAGATCTTTTCCATTTTGGCCTCTGGGGCTGCACTGCTTGCCTGTATCTTTTCTCCAAAAGTTTATATTATCCTTCTGAGGCCCGAGCTGAATAACAAGGAGGGATTAATAAGGACAAAGAATAAACCCATGTAAGTGCATCCCACTACATAATGTGATTGACATAAAATAACTCAGTTTCTCAACCAATATATCTGCTAATTGTTTATTATTTGAGATCACCCAATAAATATATGAAAAAAATACCCATAATAAAGTTATTTACTTTAATTATATAATAGCAATTTTCAACAAAGGACCACTTTCTAATGACAAGATTCTTCATAAAATTATTCATTGGTAAATACTACTGAAATCATAGACTGGAATGATACACACAGAATTAAATTGTTGGATAGGAACTCCAAATTGCATTTTCTTTACCACTTAAACTAACCAGTGGAATGTTTATTTGAACCCTTATTTGCTTGTATTGGTGAAAAGCAAGTTTGGACAAAAATTATACTCATGTGTAAATTAATTCATTTGTTGGAAAGTTTGGTGATTTACATGGTGTATTGCTACTTATTATAATTAACCATGGAGTTGCCTTTTGACCTTTACAGTGATGTCATAATGTACTCTCTGATGGAATATTTTAGGGAACATTTTTTTCATTGTTAACATTGCCATTAAATCTCTCACAATTTACAAATATAAAAATTAACTTTCAATAATTTAACATGAATCTTTTAGAATGGAGTAGTAGAAACTAGAATCTGAACTATGTAAAAAATTATAAACATATCTTGGCTAAAATGTATTAGCTTTTATTAAAGTTTGAAACTTGAAAAATCGTTAAATCTCTCAAAAGTGTACTTCAAAAAAATATGAAGATTCACTTTCAAAACTTTAACATGAATTTTTAATATTTTTGAAAATGTGTTTATGTTTCTGCTCTAGTGAGATGACCAATTTAGATTTGGTTTCTTAAGATCTGGGACAATATCTTACTGATCTCATGAGCTTCTTTTATTTGTCAAAATTTATATTAAATTGGTTATATTTTTCATTGTAACCTGAGTTGATATATATGGTTGATAGAGTTCTCGTATTTTATTTCGAATAGCAATAGCACTTATAGTGCTTTTTATAGCCTTTTCTAAGTGGTTTACAGAGTCAGCATATTTTCCCCAACAATCTGGCTCCTCATTTTACCAACCTCGGAAGGATTGAAGGCAGAGTCAACCTTAAGCCTGGTGAGATTCGAACTGCCAAATTGCAGACAACTGTCAGTCAGCAGAAGTAGTCTGCAGTACTGCATTCTAACCATTGTACCACCAGGGCTCTAAAGAAGAGATGATACAGAAAAGTTATAGTAAACAAGCAAATAAATAAAGAGAAAACTTTCTCATGGTCAAGTATATGTTATTGAAAGGAGTACTGGTATACATTTCAGGGTATGTGTATGTGCGTGCATTAGACTTTTTGTTGTTAGTTGTGAAGTCATGTCTGACCCAATGCAACCCCATCCTTCTTGTCCTCTACCATCTTCTGGAGTCCATTTAACAATTTAAAATCTTCTGGAATCCATTTAACAATAATTGTGGTTAAGAATCCCTTGGAAGAAATGGAGTCATAGTCACATAAAAGAATAGGAAAAGCAATATTGGGATACAATCCAAGAAATGACAGAACGATCTCAGTTTGAATCCAAGGCAAACCCTATAATAACACAGTCATTGAATTTATGCCCCAACCACTGGTGTTAGACTTAGTAAATTTTGAATGTACACTAATCGGCATACATTAAAATGAAATTTCATTGCACACATTTCTCAAAGGATTAATATACATTACATAAAAATGACAAAATAGATAAATA